ATATAAATATAAATATAAATATAAATAATAAATATAATAATATAATAATAAAAATATAATAATATTAAAAAATAATATTATAATGGGAAGATAATATTAGAATGGACCTTAACGAAATGGGTACGAGGGTCACAAATGGAGGGATCTTGTTCAGGGACGGGAACAGTGGCGAGATTTGGTATTTGCAGCAATGAGCTTTCGAGTTCCTAACGCCTAATAATATAATAATAATAATAATAATAAAGATGTTCGAGAATCTACAAGAGTGAATCAAATATAAACTGGAATTTTTTTTTTAATTTATTGAAACACTATAAAAATATAAACGTACGAAGTTATTTCTTTACATAATCTCCAGACTTAGAAATATATTTTTCCCAACGAATAGGTAGTTTTTTATCCCGCTATCGTAAAATATATGTGAAAATTAATGATAATAAAGGTAGTTGTAACACACCAGTCAATCACGCACAAACGCTTTGACAGTAACATTATCATCAAATCTCTATCCTCCAAGTGCTTCTTTTAGTGGTACATACAAATAATAATTGCAGGGCGATAAGTCCGGACTATAAAGGAGGATGTTCTAGTATAATCCAGAAAAAAATTCTCAATTTTTTGTCGAGTTTGGGCAGGTGTATAGAGCTGAGCATTGTCATGCAACAGGATTATGTTTCGTATTGGAAATTCGCATCTTTTCCGACGAGTTTTATTTTGTCCAAAAGACAGTAGTACGACGTTCATGGAAAAAATCAATGTGCAAAACCCTTTTGAAATAAAAAATACAGTTGCAAGAACCTTTCCAGCTAAGAACCAACGTCGGTGACCTTTATTTTCAACTGCTTCTCGTCCTTCTAATAATTGTTTGTGCCACGCGTACACTTGAGTCTTCTTAAGGTGTTGTCCCCGAACTGTGCCTTAAGCCTTCTTAAAATTTTGGATAGTTTTACGTCCTCTCTCGTAAAAAAACTTGATAATATCCCGTTGCACAACGATGAGAATCTCTTGCTCTGACATCATGATACTCACTAAAGGAGCGGTAGTGTGGGGTCCTCTACGGGGGATCTCCTTCAGACATCCCTATCTGT